CCTGTCCCTCCCGCTGCTCTCAGGTGCTCACTGTCTGGTGTGGCCCAGGTCCACTCTCTACTGCCACTCTCCACTGGGACCACCAAGTACTCAGAAAGAATCCCGGCAGGGGCTTGGACTGGGGAATGGCTTTGGAGATGGCACCACTGGCAGAGGAGGGGTAGCTTGGGATCACTGCGCCTGGTAGAAGGAAGAGGGCTGTCCCAGCCATCCTGGCCCTAAATGCAATGTCAGGCATACAGCAGCTCCCAAAAAAGGTTGGCTGCAGCAGACGGAGCTAGACATCTACCAGGAGCAACACTTTCACTCTGGACAGGTGACAGCTGTGTGGGCAAAGTGAGGCATTTGGATTAAACCTGAAAAAAATCACTATTCCTATAATGGTGGGGCAGGAGGGATACCAAACAGGAAGGGGGTGCTTTGCCTCTCTGGGGAGGTGCTAAATTCCCTCTAAGCGTTCATTAGTATGAAATACTGGCAAGGATGGACCTAGCCTCCTCCACCCTGTCCCGCCTCTGGGGGACTTTCGAGCTTCCTTTCCCACGGGCAGGTCTCAGCAGGACGGCCTCCCCAGCCTCTCTCAGCACAGACTCGCCCCGGGCAAAACAGAAGCTCTCTAAAGCTTCTTGGCATCTGGGTCTCCCCATCACCCCCACCCACAGATAGCATCAGGATGAGCCAGCCGCCAGGGGACTCGGCTGCACAGGGACCTGGGTGAGGGGCTGGGGCCAGGCTCAGCCAGCACATCCCGGATTACATTCAGGCTGTCTGACAACAGCAGCAAAACTGTCACAGCAGCAAAACCTGCAGCCCAGAGCTGCCAGGGAACTCCTCCCCCTCTCTCCACCTGCCACCCCCTAAAATGGCTGAGTTGGTTATACCTTGTCTGACGAAAACAATGCCTCAGACCTGTAAACTGCTGACAGTGACAGCTTACCCCAGCCCAGGGGTTCTGCTTGACTGGTTCTAATTACCCCCACAGCCCCATCAGGGCTGAGGAAGTGGAACGTGGGACAGCCCAGGAATGGCTAATGGAGTCTAAATGCCTCAGCCCTGGAGCGGGAAGCAGGTGGGGACTGGACAGGAACAGGGAGGATCCCTCAGAAGTGAAGGGAGGATTGTGCAAAAGGGAGAGGAAAGGGGAGGAAGGGAAGGGGGGAAGGAGAGGCTTGGAGGGAGAAAGAGAGCAAGGAAGTGGGGAGCAGTAAGAGCTGCGGGCGCTACACGGCACACATCCCGGGCAAGTTCACATTCAGTCCTTACACTACCATGGACCAGGATGCTCCACATCGAATACCCATAAGCTAAGGGTTCCTGAAGGCCCCTAATATGCATGTGGGTGACTACTGATATGGCTTAGAATGGCCAGTGCCTGGCGAGAGTAAATAGCAGGCCGACTTCTGGGTGAATGTGTCATTGCTTTTAAGTTCTCTTCAGATAGGTTCCCCTTGCTGCCTTGCACCTGGAACAGACCTTGCTACCACCTGCCCTTGGTACATCACTGCCCAAGATCACCCTGCTGCTTGGTGGCAAAATTGGGATTATACCCAGCTCCATCTGACTCAAGATCATGATCAAGTCTTCCGTCCTCACCGGTGTTCTCCAGGCCATTGCTCCTCTCCCATCCCCTTTCACCTCCACAGGTCATCCTCTGGTCCCCTTCCCGATCTACTGGAACCCCTTGCCTGACCTCAAGGAGTGGGACACCCTTTCCTTCCAGCAGCCTGACCCAGACCCCCTAGAGGCCAGAGCTGCAGGGCAGACTGGACAGGTTCTCCCTGAGCTCTCAAGTCTCTTTACCACCCAGGGCCGTCCTCTCCGGGGTGTTCCTATCCATGTGGGAGACTGGAATTTTCTTTTCCTGAAATTTCTGCAAAATCAAATGCCTGAATTCCTCTTCTTTATACTCCCTGCTCCTCTTCCCCCTTTCTTCCCCCACCCCCCCACCCCCACAGTGTGTCCATTCATTGAACAAAACTCTACAGCATGCTCACCGCGTGCCCCCCGAAGAACAGCTTGCTTCCATGGTTTACGCTCCAACCGGGGGAGTTAAGCCACAACAGGCAAATCCCCACAGTAGAGGACCTTGGGTGGTGATACATGCTAAGGAGAGAAGGAAGCAGGGCAGGGGCCAGGGAGGACATGGGACAGGGCTTCAATAAGGGATAAGAAGGTGAGTATGCGCAAAGCCCCAGAGAGTTTGAGGGACTTGGCCACATACCTATTCCAGGAAAAAAGTTCTAGCAGAGGGAAGAGCAAGTAAGAGTCTGAGCCAAAAGTCTTCCTGCCTGTTTCGTGGACAGCCAGGAGGCCTGAGCGGCTAGAGAGGATCGGGCGGCAGGAATGAGGTCGGGGAAGGGAGAGGGGCATTGTGCAGCCTCTTTAAGGGCAGGAACCCCAAGTAGAAGGGAAGACACGGAGGGTTTGGGCCATGGAAGTGATATGATCTAGCATGGCTTTTTTCTTTCTTTCTTTTTTTTTTTTTTAGAGACAGAGTCTCACTTTATCGCCCTCAGTAGAATGCTATGGCGTCACAGCTCATAGTAACCTTCAACTCCTAGGCTTAGGGGATTCTCTTGCCTCAGCCTCCCTAGTAGCTGTGACTACAGGCGCCCACCACAATGCCCGGCTATTGTTTTGTTGCAGTTTGGCCTGGGCTGGGTTTGAACCCACCACCCTCGGTATATGGGGCTGACACCCTACTCACTGAGCCACAGGCATGGCCCAATCTAGCATGGTTTTAAAGGATCACTCTGGCTATGGAACTAAGAAAAATCTAAAGGGGCAGAGAGGAAGCTGGAAAAACATTTGGGAAGACAGATGAACAGATCCTATGTGAAGCGATGGGCTTGGGCCATCGCGGGGACAGTGGGTTGTGGAGAAGCAGCAGCTGGTTGTGTCATGAGGGGGAGATTTGCCAGTGGATTGAGTATGGATACAGACAAAAGAAGAAAAAAAGATGAACCCAGGGTTTTGGGCCTGAACTACTGCAGGGATAGTGAAGTTGGCAGGTGGAACGTATTTAGCAGGAACAATTGGGAAAACAGTTTGGGATATAGTCAGCCTCCTGTACCTGCAGGTCCTATGTCTGTGGACTCAAAAGCAACCATAGACAAACAATATTTTTTTAACTGTGTCTGTACTGAACACATTTGTACTTTTTTCCTATAATTATTCCCTGGACAATACACTATTAGAACTACTATTTACATAGTTTTTCCATTGCATTAGGTATTACAAGTATCTAGACATGATTTAAAGTCCACAGGAGGATGTGTATATGTTATGTGAAAATCCCATGCCATTATATGTCAGGGACTTGAGCATCAGTGAATTTTGGTATCTGTGGGGGTCCTGGAACCTATTCCCTTCGGATACCAAGAGACAACTGTATTAAGTGTGAGATGTCTAACTCATATCCAAATATAGATATCTATTAAAATATACGTGTGGAATGCAGGAGGGGAGTCTGGGGTGCAGATGAGCACTGGCAGTCACTAATGATAGTATTTAAAGCCATGAGTCTGTATGATATCACCAAGGGAATGTGTCTAGGTTGAAAATGGGTGCCAGGGTTGAGCCTGAAGACTCTGCGGTGTCTAGAAGTTGGGGATATGAGCTGGAACTAACTAGCTAAGAAGAATAAAAGAGTGGCAAGAAATCAGGAGAGTACAGTGTCTGGAAATCAAAAGAAAAAAGTGTTTCAAGGAAAAGAAAGTGGCCAGCTAGGCCAAGTGCTGCTAAGTCATGTGAAATGAGCGCTGAAAACACCACTGAGTTTAACGCGGAGGCCACTGGTAACAAGAAGGATGATATTCTCTTGTTATTATCCTTCTGCTTCTTCCCCCCTCAGACACAGTTTGATAGCTGGGAATAGAAAATAGTGCACACCAGAGCTTGTATACTTCGGGTCAAAAGCTCTCATCTCCTTCTAGGTAGAATCCAAGCATCCCCGAGAATCCCAAGCGTCCAGTCAAACAGTGTGTCCCCAGGCACAGGACACGCTAAACTAGAAAAGGCAAACACCAGCATGTCTCTGAGCCCTAAAATAGCTGCAATATTGATAACAATGATAACAATGTCTAGTTGATGAGAACTTTCCGTTTTCTATCCATATGCTTATTGCTTTGTGTCCCTGCGTCCTAACCAAAGATGCACCCATAATTCACAGCACCTGAATGAATAACACCAAAAAACCAGCCCTGTGCTATATTTGGGGGGCTTAAAATCATTAGGTTAGCTTTCCACATACCTTGGCCTCAAATCATGTCACAAAAGTATTGACTGGTGAAGTCCTCAAGGCAAATCTTCCCTTACTACCATGGGAGATAGAGGCCATCTTTTCTAAGTCTGTACCTTTAACGCCAAACACACTGCTTGGTAGAGAGTAGGTACTCAGTGATGGGTGAATGAATGAATGAATGAATGAACAAGTGAGTGAATGAATGTCCTTTGAGTATCTCAAATCCGAGACGTGTCTATCTACAGAGGTGTAATAAACTATATTCTCTCCATACCATTATTACTTGGAGCTATGCAGACCCTGTCTCTCTGTTGCACAGCTGCCATGTGCTTAGGGGGCAATATCTTCACAGACAGAGGCATCCCCTGTGAGCTTCCTGCTAGCACTGTTACTATCCTAACTTTCTGGTGGTTAGCCACACTTACAGTGAAAAAGCCTATTGCATTTATGACCAAAGCAAATTAATGCCCCATTTTGGCAATTGTGGTAGACTTATAGAGGAAAATAGGACTATAATGTTTATGTATTTATGTGTTTTTAATGTTTATGCACTTGATGTTCTAGCCCTCACTCTGATGAGACTAGGTGTGTCTGTGTCAGTCACACCGTTGTCAGGGAGGTTACAGGCATGAAGAGTTTCTGCTAACTACCCAAGCTCATAAATGCCTGAAAATGGCTTTTTCTTATTTTTATGGGGCCAAGCCTCAGATTTCCACACACATAAAAGGGGTGAGAAGGATCCACTGGCTTCAGAGGGACTCCCAGCTCCAGCTTGCCCACTCTACACGTGCCTCTTTGCTCCCACCCAGGAAGTCACCATGTCTTGCCGTTCCTACCGAGTCACCTCTGGTCACCGGATGGCCAACTTCAGCTCTTGCTCAGCTGGGTCACCCCAGAACCTGAACCACTTCCGGGCTGGCTCTGTCTCCTGCAGGAGTGGGTCTGGATTTCGGAGCCTTGGCAGCTTTGGTGGCTTTGGGAGTCGGAGTGTCGTCAACTTTGGATCGTACTCACCCCGGATGGCAGCTGTAGGCCCTTGTCCTGTCCGCTGTGGAGCTGGCTTTGGTGCTGGCAGTGCGATGGGCTTAGGCTTTGGTGGTGGGAGTGGTGTTGGTCTAGGCTTTAGGGCCAGCAGTGGTGTTGGTTTGGCATGTGGAGCCAGCAGTGGCCTTGGCTATGGCTTCGGCGGCCCTGGCTTTGGCTACAGACTCGGAGGAATTGGAGTCCCAGCAGCTCCATCTATCACAGCTGTGACTGTCAACCAGAGCCTGCTGACCCCTCTCAACCTGGAGATTGATCCCAATGCCCAGAGAGTGAAGAAGGATGAGAAGGAGCAAATCAAGACCCTCAACAACAAGTTCGCCTCCTTCATTGACAAGGTACCTGTGATAGCTGAATCTCTAAGTGTAGGATGAGGAATGAAAAAAATGTATAGGGGTGCTATTTTCCTTAAAAAAAGCCAGCCAGGCTCTGGGGCATTGGCCTTGACCCCAGTTCCTTCAGATATCTACCAAAGGCATTGCAGTATGATTTCTAGGTTGATTTGCTGCACGGCGAGGACAAGTCAGAGGAATGTGCATGGTGGGACAGAGTAAGGCAGTGGCTATGTCTTCTGAAGGAAAGAACATCCTGCCGAGTCAGAGGGCAACTGGGAAAGCTAAGGCCTACCATCCAGGCACTTAGAAGTAGTTCCCGAACAGGCTGGAAACATCAGGATTTCAGCCAGGTGTTGGCTAGCATGTGCCTAAAAGGTTTATCCTTCGAGGTCCATGTGCTCTTTATGAGGTTCTCATAGTTTCTGAGGCCAGTGGCCTCACATGCTTAGGCTTAGGAAAGTGGAAGACAGAGTTGGGTAATTTTTATACAAAAAATAAGGAATTATACCACAACACAGAGTTTCAAGATTCTGCTAAGTTGGCTGGATTGGGGGAAATCGCAGCCACTAGACTTTGGCTGATGCAGGGAGGCAGTGACGTGGGTTGCCCAGAAGAACTGACAAACTGCGAACCCTGTCTATGTGAGTTGGGGTGCTTTGGTTGTGTCTGAGAACAGAACACGACCTCTGTCACCTTCAGTTTCTTCATCTCTAATACAAGGGGTTGGAGCAAAGGATTTTTAAGTTCTCTTCCAGCTCTACACATCTCTGCCTATGGGATATCTGAGATGTTGGGTATTATAATCTGAAAAGTCCCCTTTTCTTGCACCAAACCTCACCCTGAATGTCCTTTACTCTGCTCCTCACTCTCTGCCAGAGATGCAGGAAACCCCAGTGTAAGCAGAACCAATCTTTCCAGCTTCCCACTGAACTGTTATACACCTGCCTTTGATGGTAGACACACTTCCTTAAAGTGCTGAGGTTTAAAAGTCTCTATTGGTAGCTGAGCATGGGGAGGAAGCTACAGACTTGCCCTTCTGGCTTCTGCTGAGTGAGAGGTGGGATGACAGTCAACAGAGGAGAAAACACTGGGACATGTGGCTGAGCAGCTGGCCGTCTGAGCAGCTGTTGAATGGAGGTCCCCGTCAAGGACTCTAAATGCCATTCCCTTGCCCCTGTGGCCTTAGGTGCGGTTCTTGGAGCAGCAGAATAAGCTCTTAGAGACCAAGTGGAGCTTCCTCCAAGAGCAGAAATGTGTCAGGAGCAACTTGGAGCCCATCTTTGAGAACTACATTACCAACCTGCGGAGGCAGCTGGAGACACTGGTCAGCGACCAGGCCCGGCTCCAGGCCGAGAGCAACCAGATGCAGGATGTCCTAGAAGGCTTCAAGAAGAAGTGAGTGACATCTGGGCTGCACAGGCCAAGGACAGGCATAGGCTAGCCCCCAAATCATCAGCCATGCTCAAGAGAGATCAGCTGAAGGATCAGGGTTGAATGTTGGTTACAACACTCGTCTTGGGGACAGAGGTGGGGGCAGTGATACATTGAGGAGGGAAGGAGACCCCCCTGAGGAAAAAAGACCACTCTAGTTTTGAAAATAGTGCCCAAGTTCAGCATTGAGTCAGGTCCTACTTCTTCCATGGTCAAGTGCAATGACCCTAAGTTGCTTCTATCAGAGGAACATAGCAAGGGACCTGATTTTCTGACCTCAAATCCAAGTTGAGAAAGCAAAGGGGATATGGAGAAACTGAGGGGTATTGATTCATTAAACTCTCTTAAAGATGGCACAGAGAAGATGATGGTGTGGGGGTGGCAGCAGGGGACTCTTATCCTGGATGAAACCAAGAAGTCCTAAGAGGTTCACTGGGGAATTGGCATAATTGCTCTCAGTTCAGAGTGAGAACTCACCCTCTTAATCTTTATCACGCAGGTATGAAGAGGAGGTGTGCCTCCGCGCCAATGCTGAGAATGAGTTTGTGACTCTGAAGAAGGTAAGAAGAGCAACAGACCAGGCAAACTTTTCCTCCAGACACGCAAGTGTTCTCAGATCCCCTAGGAATCTACCCAGGCAGGCCCGTGGAGTCTCTGATTCACACAGAGACAGTGGAAGACCTGAGATCATAAGAGGCCCCCTATGAAATTCCAAGCTGGCCTCACATTATTTAGGATTAGGTCCTGTGAGAGCAGAGGTGTGAAAAGATGCCCCAGGTGTCTTGGATTACCTAGATTTTCCCTCTCTTGAAACGATCATCACAAAATGTCTGGCAGCCACGGGGGTAGTTTTCACATTGTAGCAGGGAGAAGGGCAGTCGTCACTAAGCTTCACTGTACCCGGTGGCAATTGTCACTAAGCTCATTGCACCCACAGGCTTCCCTTCACTGCCTGTGGCCGGCCTGTGGGAACTGGCCCCACCTTCCTCCCAGCTCCTGTTGAGGCAGGAAGGTCAAACAGAACACAGGTAATGAGCATATTTTTCTCTCTTCTGTGCAGGATGTGGATGCAGCTTTCTTGAATAAGTCTGATCTAGAGGCCAACGCGGATACCCTAAGTCAGGAAATTGACTTCCTGAAAGCCCTGTACATGGAGGTGAGGGCTCGTCTTCTCTAAGGTGTCCAAGGAGACCAGTGCTTGGCCTGGAGCCCTGAGGGCGTGGTCTAAGCTAGCATGTCCTCAACATGTGGCAGCACAGCCTTTCCCCCCATGCCCTATGTGCTCATGTGCCTGTGAGCAGAGGACGCACACTGGGGAGCCTGCCTCAAGTCCAGAAATAAGCTCCTTGGATCTATGATCCAAATCCTTACTGACCAGTCTAAAGTCTGGGGTCTGGAATGTCACTTCCTATCTGCTGACCCCAGGACTCTGGAAAATTGATTTGCCAGGAGCGGTAAGGAAAAATGTGTTTGACCTAATTAGCCAAACCAGGGTGCTACCTTTTGCTTCATAAGCAATCTGGTCTGGCATAGATCTGGCCAGAATTGAATTTCTAGGTCTGAGTGAAAAGGCTGAGGAAATCCTCCAGAGCCCTCGCCTTGCAGGTCATTTCTAAGCCCTCTGGTTCCTTTAAGGACTTGAGCTGTAGGGATTCCTATGCCACCATGCTCTAAAATATTGTCAGCTTTCAATGGCCCATGACCAGCACAACCACTTTGTGGGTCATCCAAAAAAAAGTTTAAGCCCTAATATGGGCCCCACACCCCTCCACCAAGTTCCTGGGCCCCCATGGCTTTAATACTCCCCTGAGCAAGGCAGTATATTAAAGGGGTAGCTCCAAGTATATAACAAGAGCTCTAAAGTCAGACCAAAACTTTTCTCAGATATGTCTTTTTGTTGTTGTTGTTGCAGTTTTTGGCCGGGGCTGAGTTTGAACCCGCCACCTCTGGCATATGGGGCCGGCGCTCTACTCCTTTGAGCCACGGGCGCCACCCAGACATATCTTTTTCTTTGCCTTTAATTCGGATGGTCTAGCTTTGCTCTGAACCAATGCCCTCTGCCCTGACACCATATCCTGGGGCCCTATGGCAGAGTCCTACCCACTGGATGGGACTCAGAGCCCATTTGTCTTGCTGACTCTCCAACACAGGAAATCCAGTTGCTGCAGTCACATATCTCAGAGACATCAGTCATTGTGAAGATGGACAACAGCCGGGACCTGAATCTTGACGGAATCATCGCTGAAGTCAAGGCCCAGTATGAAGAGGTGGCCAGGCGCAGCCGGGCTGATGCTGAGGCCTGGTACCAGACCAAGGTAGGTGGGTGGGGGAGGCTGGGAAAGGGGTGTGGGCAGCTCTGGGGGCAAGACTCACATACAACAGAGAGGGCCCAGTGGAGGGCTGGGTTCTTGACCTGACCTTCAGACCCTCAAAATGTCCTCTGCACCCAGTATGAAGAGATGCGAGTGACAGCTGGCCAGCACTGTGACAACCTGCGTAACACACGGGACGAGATCAATGAGTTGACCCGCCTGATCCAGAGGCTGAAGGCAGAGATCGAGCATGCCAAGGCTCAGGTGGGCAAAGGAAATAAGAGAAAGCTCTGGAGGGAGAAGAGGCAGGGCCCCAAGCCTCAGGGCCCAAGTTGGATGAGGGGAGGGAGATCACCAAGACTCAGACAGAGAAATGGAGAAATTAGGCCTGGAAGGCTTCCTGGAGGAGGAAAATATAGAAGGGAGAGAGACTTTCCATACAGAAGAAAAGGCTGGGATAGACCCAAACAGGGAAGTAAGACAGAAAGATTAGATTCACTCCTGGACCCCATGGGCTTAGGACAGCAGAAATCTGAAACGGCAAAGTCAGTAGAGGTGGAAACTGAAGCAAAGCAATGCTCCAGCCCCTGGCGACATCAACTCCAGGACCACCAGTCCCATGGGGTCCATCCCTGGCTTGGAACTAGACTATATTTCCACCAAGAGGGGCAGTGTTTCTAACCCCACCTGGGGATACCCTGGCCCTGCCAAATCCCCCTCCTGCCAACTGCCCTCCCTGCAGCGTGCCAAACTGGAAGCCGCGGTGGCCGAGGCCGAGCAGCAGGGCGAGGCAGCCCTCAATGATGCCAAGTGCAAGCTGGCAGATCTGGAAGGTGCCTTGCAGAAGGCCAAGCAGGACATGGCCAGACAGCTGCGTGAGTACCAGGAGCTGATGAATGCCAAGCTGGGCCTGGACATCGAGATCGCCACCTACAGGCGCCTGCTGGAGGGCGAGGAAATCCGGTGAGCAGGCGCAGGGCCGCAGGAGGGCGGGTGAGGAGTCAGACTCTGCAGGGGAGGGGACTAGTTGAAGAATTTGCAGAAATGAGCAATTTCTAGGGGTGCCCATGTTTTTGCTGCAAACAGTAGTTGAGGGTATCCTTGCCACACAAGTTTGGAGACAAGTTGCGCCAGAATCATTGGATGTTTGGCTTGGTTGGTTAGTTTGCTAAAATCAATAAAAATAATACATTTCCTCAAATATTTTAATTTAATGGTTTTAGGGAAGGGTCTATGAATATGGAGTTTTCCAAAGCTCCCCAAAAGTGTGGGAACTTCAAGGAGTGAGAACCACTGGTCCGCCAGTTCACTCAGACAAGAAAGCCCTTTTTATAGCACGGAGGTTTGGGGGAACAACAGTGCCTGTAAACTGATTTGTTTCTTTCCCTCTCCAGGATCTGTGAAGGCGTTGGACCAGTAAACATATGTAAGAAACTTAAGTCTTCTGCTTTTCACATGCTTCTCTCTCCTTCAAACTTCCTTTAAACTCAGGCCCCCTGGGGACTCAGGAGGCTCCCGAGATAGCCAGTCCGGCCATGGCAGTCAGGGGAACTAGGACTCGAGACAGAGAGTACTTTCTGAGCAGAGATGGCAAGTGGTAAAAGATTCTGCAAGGAGGAGGGGACAGAAAAGAGTGTGCCCTCTGCAGATAGGGCCGTCTAAGCAAGGTTTAGTTAGATTGGAACCCAGGGGCGTGGCAGTGTGCCCAGTGGGCAGCTGAGGGCCACAGAGCAGAGACACCAGAAGGTCAGGAGAGAAGTGACAAGGGACTAGTGTCAGAAGGGTTTCTCGTACTCCAGGCTCCGGGAAATGTGGGGGCCCCTGTAGAGGCATAATGTAATTGGAAGAGCCCCATGGCTTTCTGGGGGCTGCTGCAGCAGCTGGCTGCCAGCCTCACACCACCTAGCCTGACCAGGTAGGCAGACATCTGGGGAATTGGTTGAATGCTTTCATTTTAATTTGTATGTTTGATTTTCGTGTAGTCAGTCTTTGAGCCACCCAAACAAGTGAAGGGAAAAGTGGATATCGACAGTGTAGACCCCAGGACCACTTCCCAGATGCCACAGCCCTGCCTCTCCTGGGGCCTTACTGGGTGCCAGTCTCCCTAGGTGCAGCCCAGGGGGAGCACTGACCACCCCACCCCCTGACCCTGCAGTCCACAGCTTCCAACACTTTCCTCCTTCCTCCTCGCAGCAGTGAGCAGCTCCCGAGGCGGCCTGGTGTGCGGGCCTGAGACCCTGGTCGCTGGCTCGTCCCTCTCCCGCTCTGGAGCCACCTTCTCTAGCAGCAGCAACGTCTGCACCACCGGCAGGGTCGTGACTTCCTGTGGCTCAAGCCTGGGTGGGGCCCGGGCCACCCTGGCTGGAGGGGACCTGCTGAGCACCGGCACCAAGGGCGAGGTTTGTGTCCCCAGCGTCTCCTGCCCCCTGCCCACAGAGGGTGGCTTCAGCAGCTGTAGTGGGGGCCGCAGCAACGTCCGTTTCTCGTCCACCACCACTTCCCGCCGGACCAAGTACTGAGAGCCCAGCCCCAGACCAGCCACTGCCAGAGAAGAACCAGCCCAATGCCTGCTGCCTCCCGGACTCTGGGCCTGAGGGGCCTCCAGCTCCCCTCCTGCCAAGACGCCACCCCTTGGCTCTCCCCCCGCTGCTCCCCCTGGCCCCGGGCTCCTAGAGGACCTTTTTACCATGTGGGTGCTCCATCTGCAGCCCCAGCCAGGCCAGCTTCTCCCTGAGTCCCAATTCCCTTCCTTTGCATCATTCCTCATCATCCAGCAACAGCCTTGAAAATGCAGATTTAATACAACTATAAAAATTTGTGTGCCTGAGGAGAAAAGGAACAGTTCAAAGATAAAAAGAATGTGTTTGGGCACCATCCCCTGGGTGGCTTGGCCCAGTTTGGAGAATGGAGAGTTAACTGTCCACACTGGTGGCGTCCTTAGCCTGCCGTCCTTGGCTTCCTTCTCTTCCTTTCCCTGGCAGGAGAAGGTTCTTTCCTTCTCTTTCTGCCCCAGAGGGTCTGTACTCCTTGGCGGCCCAGGGATCCTAAAGTCCCCAGAGGTGGTTCTTGTGCCCTTGTCACAGGCCCTGGCTGTTTCTCTTCCTGGGTTGTCGGTTTAGCTCTGGCATGTGAGTCCACGAGATGGTGAAGGTGAGATGGAGAGGTGGGCCCTGCAACACTGCCGGTGCCCCTGCCTTGCTGGTGGTGTGAGGCCCAGCCTTGTCTGCTGTTGGGTTTGTGTCGGGAAGCCCTGAGGGGCCTGGGAGTGGGGTGGGATGGGGTGTCTGTCTGTACTGCTCTTTGTGTTCTTGGGTTTTCAATAAACTTGCTAAGCAAACGTCATGAGGACTCTGCCTCTCACTGGATCCCACGGGGGGTGGGGGGGGTGGGGGAGTTTGCCCCCTAGACTGCACCAGCTTACCAGCTCATGGGCCCCACCCTGCTGAAGACTTGTCAAGGGCGGAGACTAGTGGCCCCAGCACAGGGAGGCACTGAGGAAACAGGGCCCGGGCCCTTCCCTGGAGGAGTTCACAGTTCTGCAAGGCAGAGGAGACATAGCAAAGGCTTTGGAGACAAGTGCCAAGCAGCCCATTCCTCTCTAGGCATCACCTTGCACTTCAGAGGTGCCCTCTTCCTGGCCAGGTAAACCCTCTGTCAATTCCACCCCATCTCCAGGTCCTCTGGGATCACTGCAGGGATCCCCTGGTCTTTCTGTCCTTACTCTTGTTTTTATCCAACTCACTCATCATGATGCTGCCACAGAGGGCTTTCTCACATGGAAAACTGATCAAGACTCTCCCCTGTTTGTAGCCCTCAGTGGCTCCACATTGACTTCCAGAAGAGCCTAAATTCCTTAACATGGCATACTATGTATAAGTCCCGTGTGACTTGCCCAAACGCGTCCACTCTCTGCCTTCCCCTCCGTGCAACCCACTTCCCATCTTTCATCTTTTACTTATTTATTCAACAAACATTTGATAAGTACCTACCACATGCCAGGCATGATGTCAGGAAAATAGTAGTGAAGGAGAGTCAGTCCTTGCCCTCCAAGAGCATACAGTCTAGTCTGACTGAGGGACAGGAGCGCAGGCAAGTATGACTCACATGCTAAGGGTAGAACCAGTGCTATGAGGCACAGAGGGGAGGCCTGCCCCAGACTTGGGGCACCATCAAAGGCTTCTGGAAGGATGTGATGTCCCAGCAGAGATACAAACGATGATGAATTCACTGTCACTAAGTAGGAAAAAGTGTCCCAAGCAAAGGCAACGATGTGTGCAAAAACCAAGAACTTGGACAGAACATGACAAGTTTGGGATCTGCCTGGAGTTGACCATGATAGAACAAGGAGTGCAAGACATAGCACGTGTTGGGGACAACAGCCATCCACACTGCAGTCATGCACAGCTCCCTGGGTCAGCCCTATCAGGGCACCCGCAAGACAGTCCCTCATGAGAGCAGAGAGCACTGCCTTCATTTGTACACAGTCTGCCTTCCAGATTGCCACCAGCCATCGGAGGTCCTGCAACTCGTCCTGCTCACAGTCTTTACCTGCATGACCCTGAACTCACCAATCACAGGCCCTCCTGCCTCCAGGGGCCCTCACTTCCCCCTCATCTCCCAAATGCCAAGCCACACATGCCCGTCGTGGGGGCAGCAACATCAACCAAACAAGTCTACCCTGTGCCAGTGACCGACTCACTGCCTCAGCTCCAAACTCATCCTTGGCTACCCAGTCTGGGAAAGCTGATCTGATCCTCTAAAACGTAAGTTAAGTGTTTCCTTTGCCATCTGGCACAATGTTAATCTTCATCAGCAGGCATTTCAATAGACATTGGAGAGACGCTGCAGGAATAGGGCTTTCCTTCTGCGTGCTCTCCCAGCAGGCCCTGTTCAGTTTTGCCAATGCCAGGTGACTGCAGAGCAGATGCCCTCTGTAGTGTCAGAACAGCAGCCAGCCCCACTCCGCGACCAGGGGCCAGCAGCATCCGGCGGCCAGTAGCTTCCTCCAATACCTCTTGGGCAGTTCCAAAGCAGAGAGCCTCTGGCAAAATAACCCTTCCTGAAAAGTCTTTCCTGGCACCCTAGAAAGTAGGTTCCTGGCAAGTTTCGAAAGGAAAATTTCCTGCAAGTTCTCCTGGGATAGCACCAGTGACTTCTCTGGCACCCAGAGAGAAGCTGCTGTGCCCTGGCTGGGATCCAGACCTCTTCCTTGGCCTGTACCACAGCCCTGGGAGTAGCGGCTATCCTTTCTATCCTTCATATCTGCCACTTGTGCATATTTAGCATTCTCTTTACATTTTACTAGCCAATCCCCAGTGCCCATATTATTTGCATTAAACTTTCCCTGTCCAAGTTACCATGTGGTGCCATCTCCTGCATGGACCCCAACTGATACATGACACTTGGATGGCATTGCTGCCACCCTCTTGGGCCAGGTAACACGCCAACACTGGGACCCCATGCTCCAGCGCCCCACCTCAGTTAGTCTTACAGTTTGAAATGCCATCCATATGCCAGCGACTCCTGAGCTTCTGACTGTAGCCCACCACGTCCATGAACTCCAGGCTGGGGTGTGGTTTGCTCACTGACATCCCCTCTGTGTGTCTCACGGGCATCTCATACCAAACGTGTCCAAAACCAAGCTCGCCCTTCTTCACTCTCTGGGCTGCTCTTTCCACATTAATGGCAACTCTGTTTAGCTGCTTAAGCCAAAAAAATCATGGAGTCGTCTTTAACCCTTCTTTTTCTCTCACATTCCCAAATTAATCCCTCACAAATCTTGTCAACTTAGCCTTCAAATAACATCCACAATCCAGCTGATTCTCGCCACTTTCATGGCTATCTCTGAGGCCCAAACTGCCATCGCTGTCACCTGGATCTTGCAGCAGCCTCCAAACTGATCTTTCTGCTTCTCCTCTAACCTTCCTTCAGCCTGTTCCCCAAAACACAGCCAGAAAGATCTGGCAAAATTAAGCTGATTTCCATTTCTAAGCATTATGGAGTGAGCTCATTATAGCCTCTCTCTTCCACTGATGACAACTAAAAATTCTAGATAAAATTCAAAATCTACTATTTGAGGACTCTGAAAAGTGAACAAAAGGAGGTAGATTATAGCAAGAAGGCAAAGCTTGGAAAAGTGAACTATATATTTTTTCTTCTTTGCTTCCAAGCTTTGAGCTGAGAGTGGGCCCTGAGTTGTGAAGCTGTGATACATCATCATGGTCACCTGAAATTTCACTAGAGAGACTATCCTTCTAACCACAGGAATTAGGAATAGGGACCTAATCAGAAAATATAGAATGGGACACCCCACATTCTTCTCTTTTCTCTCCTGGCTTTACTTTGAAGACAGGTCCCAGTCACGGAGCTGTGCAGTTAGCAGTGACACAGGATGATCTTTCTGACATGAGAAACCCGGAAAAGAGACCCCAGCATAGGGTGGGGTGGCAACTGAGAGAGGAAATCTGGGGAAGATGATCCCTGTATATACAAATCCACATAAGTTCCTGTCTCTCCCTTGAACTTCAGATGCATGAAAGAACTAAGGCATATCAAAGGCATCGAGAACTGAAGTAAGATTTAAACCACTTCCCCAGTTCCAGACAAATCCTAAGGGCATCAACACAGGACAGACTCAAGGCAGCAGACCAAAAGCTTGGACAACGCTCAGAAGGAGAGACAGAACGCCCAGTCTGATGGACGCCCTGCTCAAACAAAGCAAAACAAAAATGAAAAGTCTCCAGAGGATTTATCAGGCCCGGAATCTACAAATCATCATTAATATTCAAAATATCCAGAATATATTCTAAAATTATTGTGATATTCAAGGAATCAAAAAAAGGTCACCACTTCTTAAGAGGAAATAAAATTGACAGATGCCGACTCCAAGATGATACAGACATTGTAATTAACACACAAAGACTGTAAAACACTATTACATCTCTATTCTGTGAGATAAAGGTAAATACATTTGAAATAAATAACAAGGTAGAAGTTCCCAGCAGAAAATATAACGAATAAAACCAAATGGACATTTTAGAACTGAAAAGCACAATATTTGAAATGAAAAATGTTACTGATGGGCCCTACAGCAAAAAGGAGTGGACAGAGGAAAAAGTCAATAACTGGAAGATCGAGCAATAGAAATTATCCAATCTGAAGGATAAAGAGAAAAGAAGATCAGGAAGAAATATTTTTAAAAAATAGAAAATAGAAAAAAATGACATATTACATATAGGAGAATAACGATTCAAATTTTACCATAGTTTCTCAACAGACTAGGAATTGAAAGGAATTTCTTTAAGTTGGCAAATGGCATCTATAGAAAAACCATACAGCTAACAACATGATGTTAAGACCAAATGCTTCTTCTCTAAGATGAGGCACAAGATAAAGATGTCTGCTTACACCACTTTTAGTATTGACCAGCTGTCCTGGTCGGTGAATTAAAGCAAGAAGAAGAAATAAAAGTCATGTAGCTTAGAAAAGAAGAAATAAAAGTCTAGCTCCCAAGAAATCTTTTTTAAAAAACCAAATAGAGCAGAGAAGTGAGTTCAGCAA